TAATGAATTAAATTCTAATATGTATTCTATGCAAGAAGCATAATTCGATCAACTTATTTACTAATTATTTGTGGTATTTTTTTTAGCAAAGCCATACAAGCACATTGGATGTTTTAAGGATACGAGTACTAGAGCAGTGCCTGATTATTTGGGTCATATAAGAACGAATGATGTACAGCAATGTGCAGATAAAGCAAGTGCAGGAGATTATCCAATATTTGGATTACAAGTTGGCTATGAGTGTCGAGGTGGCTATGGAAAGACGTATAATATGTACGGAACGGCAACAAACTGTAAATATGGTGGCGGAGGAGGTTGGGCTAATGATGTCTATCAATTTACTGGTAAAGTCACAAAACGTACCGGTTGATAATATATAGAGGATATTACATGGGGGCGCGGAGATACGGAATTTATCTTCGAGTGTTGAAAGATCTCTCACGAGTGAGCGTAGCGAAAGATCTTTTCAACACGAGAAGATAAATTCCGTATCTCAAAGCGCCCATGTAATATTCTGTTTTTATAAATATATTTGCAATTTTTACCCAAGTTATTTTGAATTCAAATGCTTTTAGACGAGATTCTTTGGCCAAAAGGAACGTTCTCATTACTAAAGCCTTCATCAGGCTGCCCATCAGATTTAATTGACAATGGTTGGCTATTACAAGACACAGTTGATAATGTTCTAAACGTACGCTCGCCTGTACTAAACATCGATGGTTATGTGGCGAGAGGATATGTTGTCCGGTCTTTTTGTACGAAAACAACGAGAACATCATCTGCATGGCCGAAAGGTTTGATAATGCCTTTACACAATCAGTTATAACACTTATCATATTAATATAGCTATTTCAAAAAAGGTTGTCGGATAAAATGGCGAATTTCAATTGTCGAACGGCGATTGGACGACCGAAAGTAGCCATGGGTTTGCTAATTGAAATGCAATAAAAACTGATTTGTACTGTAAGATGGTCTGTGGTAAACATTGGCTCCATTTAGTCTCCATTTCTATGTAAGGTGAATCCAATAAGTGAAATTTTGTTTATCAAAACAGTGTAACCATAGTCCCTTTCGGTCGTGCAATCTCCCTTCGACAATCGCCGTTTACCGTTCTCCCCGACAACGTTTTTTGAAATACCTGTATATGAGATCAAATTAAGCTGTCCGTGAAGTTTTGAACTTTGCGCAATAAGGATTGAGGTAGCGCACTTAACTAAGTCATTGTTACCATTAAAAACGTACAGGTTTCTCTTATGTTACTTATTAGTTCAAGCAAACAAAAACCGTGGTTGTTTCATACATGTTTTACAATAGTCAACTTTTGATATTTTGGTTCGATGACTATGTACAAAAGAACGCACACGAGGCTCCGGGGAAACAATGGATAATCTTGATTTATTCTTTTATTTCCCCGGAGCCTCGTCTGCAATTCTTTTGTGCATGGTCACTGAACCAAAATATNTAATAATAATAATAATAATATGTGGTATTTATATAGCGCCGATATCCTCTGAGTTCAAAGGCGCTTCACATGTATAGATCATTTCACACGGACCGCTGTTTAAGGCGCAATTGGCAGCCACGCGGCTTACAATCATGAGGGGTTAGTAATTAGTATGGGTTAGTAGTAAGGCCTAGCCACACACACCGGGAATCATTCCCTACTCTTATGCGAACAGTGGTGTGGGTTCTTTAACGTCCCTCTAATACAGGTTAGTGAGTGAAGTGTAGAGAGACGGGACCTCCGATTTTTACGTCTTTATCCGAGAGGACGAGAAGATCTTACCATTTGCAGATGGAGAAAGACAAAGGCAGCAACTTCTCCTCAATTATTTTAAGACCCTGAGTGTTGGTCCGGCCGGGGTTTGAACCTGCGACCTCCCGCACTAAAGTCCGATGCTCTACCTACTGAGCTAACCGGTCGGCTATAGACTTCTCATCTTTAGGCGAGCTCTTTCGCCAAATTGCCCAACTTTGATATAAATGGGAAGCCTCCCACATTGCTTTACTCTTGATTGGAATCGACGCCTCTGCTAGTTCTACTAAATTCCTCTCTTGCATTATTGAAGCGACTTCGCTGTCTGAGGCTTTCTCGATTTTCTGACAATTAATATATTGATATTACTTTTTCAGTTTTAAGAAGCTTTATCGACAGCACCGATCATTTTTAATCTGCTAGCTAAAGCTTGTGAGGTTATCTTTTTTATGAAAAATCCATTATGATACGAAACGTACAAATTGAAATCTAAATTCAAAGACTCGTTGATGTGGGATTAAAAATTGACCAAGATAGGAATTTTTTTTGCAATTATTGATTTTTTCAATTTTGTCACATAAATGTTTTTGGACCTTGAAGACCTTTCTCAGGAACAAATTCATACAAGAACAGTTATTTAGCAGAACAGACCCCGTCAGCTCCTCCTAAAGTTTTTGTCTTTACACTTAGGTCCAGATGAGTAAACCACCTCTTGCATCTGGGTTCGTCTTTAGTGAATTGTGCGTTGCTACAGTTGACTTGACTCGCTCGTGCCTGTTTTATAACTAAGGATAATAGTTTTTTTGTTTTTTTTTGTTTTTTTTTAGCAGAGGTCGGGGGAGGGGGGTAAGAGCTATTTTCTTATCCTTTGGAGGGAGGGCTCTGGCTAATTTTCTGCTTGAGAAGTCTGGTTTTGTGAAAAGCCAATATTCTCTTTTATAGTCAATAGCATCGTGAATATGCAAAAACTCACAAGCGTTTCAATGGTGTTTTCCGATACAATGGAATTAAATTGCAGCATGTAATTTGAAGTTTTAAAAGGGTAGAGATTGTTACACTTACTTGAAGCCAATAAGATTTCCGATTTATAGTTTTCATTGTATGTAAAGTTTTAATGGTACAATGGTTTTTAGAAAAACGCTCAAAACTAAAACCATTAATTAGCCTGCTTATTGTAAAACACGAACAACACAGTTTTGAAAGGCAGGGTTTTGTTTCTTCGAAAACAATGAGAGTAATGAGATTAGTAATGGTCTCGCTCCTCGGCTTATTGAAAATAATGACCGGTCGCGCAGCCGAGGAGCTCATCCATTATCCTATACATAATTGAAAAAATTGTAGCCAAAACTGACAAGGCTAGACAAAAGAAATTAAAGTTAAAATAACATGTAAGCAAAATACCATGCTAAGCTTAATTCTTTTTATTTCTTCTTGACAAACAATTATTACACTTGTCTTACTATCAAAGCTAGCAAAAAAACATTACTTTTTAAGGCTTTCTTTCGTGCAAAAGAATAAAAAAAAAAATGGAAGCAAAACAAAGTTCAATTTCAAAACGTGTACTT